ATCTATCTATCATATCTATCTATCATATCTATCTATCTATCTATCATCTATCATCTATCATCTATCTATCTATCTATCTATCTATCTATCTATCATCTATCATCTATCATCTATCTATCTATCTATCTATCTATTTATATCTATATCTATCTATCTATCTATCTGTCCCCTCCATCCATCCATCCACCCATCCATCCACCCACCCACCCAGCTTCTTCTCCAGCTTGCCTTCTATGTTCTGCTATTCCTGTCATTTATCATGCTTTCACTGCTGCTTCCTGCACATAGTAGGTAGCCAGTAAATAGGGATGAATCAGAATGAGTGCAGTCAGGAATTCCAAAGCAAATTCAGAGTCTCAAGGGTAGCCCACACTGGTAGGCCTTCAAAGAAACCAACTATTCATCCTTAGCCCTCTTTGACTGAATTCAGTGAGGAAATGACAGAAACAATATTTCCTTCCCTGTCAGCCATAGTGCACAGAAGAGGAAACTCTTCATCCATATAATGAATTGGAGATGACAGAACACCTGAGGAAACATTGCAATGGTCTAATCATACCGAACCAGCATCGCTGAGGGACAGAGAATAGGCAAGAGGATTTGATTTGTATTACTCTGAGATGAACTGGTTTCTGTTCAGTGTAATTCAGGGGGGAAAAAAACCCTCTCTCTGGAATATCTTCTCTTCCTTTCCACACAACGCCAAAATAGTTCTTGATGTTTACAAGTCTGGCTGTCAATGTGCCTTTTCTGAGTTTCTCCTACTCTTGGGATTGTATGCTTGCAACGTTTGAATACAGAACAGCTCCTTTTTAATTCATTCAGGGCAGCTACGCTCTTTGTACTAGATGTTATGCAGAGTTCATCTCTATGTCTGCAACAAGAACCATTCTTATTTTAGTGTGAGTCTACTCCTATCGTATGCATTCCATACCACTGCCATTAAATTATCCATATCTCTACCGACATTACTCCTAGACTAGTCTTTGTTGGATATTTAAATTATCGAGAAGAGGGTAATGGAAACCATTCCAATAAGATGGCCAAGGAAACTGCATAGAAACTGACATTGAGAGCTCAGCTCAAATTTAAAAAGTCAAGATGGACAGCTGCCAGAGGGTGTGAAAAAACAATGAAATGTGGCTGTGATGCTCCATTCTTTATGTGTCGCACATCTGCAGCACACTTCAAAAATGGCGGAATTTGGCTGTGGGTTGCAGGAGGCCGTTGCAGCAAAAATGGGACTCGGGAGCCAGTTTTCTCTGGGAGGGTGCTCGGTAGGCATGAAATGCTCTAATCTTCACTACAGGTTTGGAACTGGGAGCCTGAGTGCGGCAATTTTGTGCATGTGCAGAACCTTCTGCACATGCGCAGAGCATCTTTGATGAAATCTGGGCACGTGGGCAGAGCCTCCCGCCACTGCCACTACAGGTTTGCCCGAATCAGAACTGGCGGAATACTACCTCTGGTGCTCAGGCCACCCACAGGCGCCCCCAACACAAGTGAGTCGACCTGACTATGCCCACCCAGGCCCCCCGAGGTCAAATACAACCATGATGTGGCCCTCAATGAAATTGAGTTTGACACCCCTGTTCTAAAGACTTAAATCTCGATTTCAAACAATGCTTTTAGCAGGTCAGAGAGAAAAGGACCCCCCCACATTTAGACAGCCCAGAGTATATTTTATATGAATACCTCAAATCCCTGAGGTCTTCCCAGGCTGTCTTTGTTGTGACTCCACGCAACAAGAATCTCTGAAACAGACAGTCCTGTAGCCTTGACATCAGTAGGGGCAGCACTTGGTTCTGCAGTAAAGAAGAATCAAAATGATAATGTTTGGTTAAAGCAGTTTGAATCTAGACAAGTAGATTTACTCTTCCTGATCATCTCTATCATTGCTAAGGATAAAACCTCACAGGGCATCCAGCCAGTAAATGCTACAGTCCACCCAGTCGCCCTGACTTTACCCTGAATTAAGGGATTACAGGGTCACAAAAAGGGAATTTACTGTAAAGATAACCAAGATGGACTTGGAACAAGAAGGCCCCAAATTGAAATTCTCATTCAACATGCAGCTTATTGAATGATTTTGGGCTACTTGCCCTCTCTCAAACCAACCTACCACAAATAAAAGAAACAAGCAAGGAATATATAGAGCTGCAGTTTCCCCTCCTGATGAATTTTAATTTTTTTAAAAAAACTCTTGTTCAATGCAGAAAAATTGCTGGTCTTTATTTTTTATTTTTTAATCCAAGCTTTCTCGCTGAACTGAACATCATGCCTGGGGGCTGGTATCTCTTCTCACCTCTGCGGTGTAAAACATTTGTTTTTCCATGATACAGTAAATGAATTCCCCGGTTTTCATAGCAGAAAACAAGAAAATGTTATGCAGTAAAAGAAATAACGTGGTTCAATATTTTTCCACTGAGGTACGATTTTCTGGGCAGTAGGAACTGCTTACTATTTATACCTTTAAACTTTGTGCATGGTGAAAGGCCTGCATTGGATTTTATATTACTCAATCAGTTACTTTGCTGATAAGGAGGTTGAGGTGGGATAAATAATTTGTGACCTAGACAAAATGATGCGTGGCAGTTACCTAAAAATGTAGAAATCATTTTTTTCCTTTGATACAACCATATTGTTGAGGATTTAGGTAAATTTTCTCTTTCTCACTTCTCTCTCTCTCTCTCTCTCTCTCTCTCTCTCTCTCTCTCTCTCTCCATTTCTCCCTCCATCTCCTTCCATCTCTCTCTCCATCACATACTCTCTTTCTCTATCTCCCTCCCTCCCTCCCTC